TATATAGTAAACTAATTTAAATAGGTAATTTTCTTTTTATAATTTTTTTTTACATAATAATCATAGTTAAAATTTTGCAGGTTTATACACAAAGATTATACCAAGGTACTTACATAGTAGCACAAAAAAATACTCAATTATGATTGGTTAATTTAAAAATATATCAAAATATTTTAATTTTTAATTTTTTTTTAAAAAAATTGACCAACTTTGGAATTTTGTTAAACAATATATAATCAAAAATTAATCTAATTTTTTTTAATAAATATATTCTATAAATCTCAAATATTAAATATATTTATTTAATTGTATAAAATTTTACGTAATTATATTTTAATTCAAATGTATCAAGTTGGTGTATTATGATTAATGAGATAACTAATATTATAATTTTTCTTTGATTTTTATTTTCATTTAGTAAGATATACATTAATTTTATATCTTTATTTTTTAGATATTGTAATAATTAAACTTTTAAAGCATTACTTAGCAACTTTGTTAATTTTACTATATACTACTTTTGTTTTTGTTTTGCTTTATAGTCTTCTTTCTCTTCTATTATTTTTATTAGTTTATAATTATTAACTGATATAGACTATGAGATTTCTATAGCTTAATGGATAAGTTTTCAGACCTATCACAGACAAGGTCAATGGTTTGAGTTTAGTTAAAGATGAAATATACTCTGTAATTTAATTAAAAGACTATAACCAGATATGAAACTCTGTAATACAAACCTAAGTGAATATCTGTTTGAATTAGAAATTCTCAGAAGAAGATTAACCTGTAAAGTACAGATATTATACTTAGTAAGAGAAGTGATGAACACAGAAAAACCTGTAAAAAAGGATTAATCTTACTAATTAGGAAACACCTCTAGCAGAAAAAAACCCATAACAGATATAGTTGTAAGATCTACCTTTGTCTCAATAAAGTTTATCTCACAGGTAAAGTTATCTGAAGGCCTGATGCATATTAAATTAAGTCTGATGTTGTAGAAAAAACATTAAAAAATTAGAGACTTTAAATAGAAAACCCACAGACAGGTTTCAGGTATGGCAATTAGCAGGTAAGCTGTAGGTAAATCCTTTAAATAAACAATAACTAAAATTGTATGTGTGGCTAATTGTAGCTTTATTGATATGCAAAATGTAATACACCTTTATACGTATAAGTAATAAGTAAACATTATACTTAATAAAATCCATAAAACCATAGAGGTCTCTCTTTAAACCAAAAATATATATATATATAATAATAAAATAACATTGTAAAAATATGTATGAAATCTATTTCCACCTACTAAGATTAAATAAAAATTAGCAATCATTAACAAGTTAAAAAAAAATTATTTAATAAAGCTTCTATATAATCACAAGTTTTTATTTTAAATATAATTGTAATTATATAAAGTATATTTTATATTAATCACACTTCTATATAATTAATTTTTGTGTTCCAAGAATGTGACTATAGAGAGATCTGACTGTATATATTTCTGAAAAAATATTTTTTGAAATATAAAACACATAATACATGTTCAAATAATCAATAATTTATTTTATTAAGGCAAAGTATTCGGATTATGGCCATTTCATATTTTTTTTTAACATTTGTCTTTTTGTTAAAGAACCACGTTTTTTCATAATGAAACAAAATAAATAATGTTTCTCAAAATATTTGACTGCTTCAGTGTTTTGGCTTGGATGACTATAAAAGTCCGGATGTAGTTGAAGAGGAAAAAGTTTATCAATGCTATAAATAAATACTTCATAGCTATGCATAGTTATGGTATATAATAATCAGCAGTATTAGATCTTATGATAAAAATTTTAAATATATTTACTAGAAACTGAAATCTGGTATAAATCTGAAGTCTAAATTTTTGATCATGCATAAAAATTGTAATTTCGGTCATCGACACTTTAGAATGAGTACTTCGTTTCGATCCGGACAATTACTTTATTACTCATGTTTTTGCTTAATACAAGATCTTATAAAATTTGATTTTTGCAAACCTTTTTAGGATAGACATTAGGGCAGTTTGTGGAATACCATGCTAAAGAATGTAAAATTACGGCAATTTATAAAATTTTCTGGCAAGTTACCGGTAAGCTACCATAAGTTACCAGTAAGCTTTGCCAGGCCATTTTGTCTTAATGCTAGCGGAAATTTAATAGTAATCTGGTAACTTATCATGGCAACTACCATGTTAAGTTGGGTGTAATTTACGACCCTAGCGTCATTAATTTAAAAATATTGCAGTTAAATTAGGGTTAGGATTTGCTATTAAGTTAGATTAGAAAGAGCCTTTTTAATACCATAATTTCGCAAGGAAACTTTGCTTCATAGGTGTTTTTTCATGTTACACTAGATCTTGAAGTCTGATTGGCTGGCGAAATAGTAGCGAAATTTTCTAGGGTGGTGATGCTAGAGTGTGTAATTTCGGGTTACGGCCCGGCTTAGTGCGGGCCGTGATTCGAAATTACCCCTTGAATCGTTATTTTATAGCGGAGCATGAGAAAAATTCAGAAAGATATTTTTGTATACATATAATCATGTCAGATTTGAACTTCAAAAAAGGAATAAGATCCCATATATCACGAGAATCCGCTATTGACTTGCATGGAATAACGATAAAATAATCATCAAATCACTTGACAAGAGAAATCACGACAAAATTCGGTTCACCTTTACTGCTTTATCTGCTATGACCGTACTATACACACTGTTTGATTATCATTAATGTGTAATACCTACGTCATTTTTACGTTCAAGATCATATAAGAGTCACGCATTAAAAAAATTGTATAAAAAGAATTTCATCTTTTAAGTAAAGTCAAACTTTTAAAAAAACATCGAACAACATATTTATAAAAATATAAACAAATGGGTTCAAGAGCGATCTTTAATCAAGATACAAGTGGGTATAAATTTGATTTTGAAGATTTCATAAAAAATGAATTGGGTCTTCGATTAAATAAAAATTGTAATTATTATCTTTACTATTTGCATATACATTTTTTTGTGTTGAATGAGATCATGTAATGTGCATAATTTGTTAGTCATGTGTATAAAAAAGAGAGTAAATAATTATTTTATCCAATTATCGCCAATCATATTCTCATTTTTTTTTTAACAATGTATTTGTAAAAACTATACAATTATTTTATTTTATTTTTTAAAAAAAAAGCCAAACATCGTAATCCTTCAGAAGAAGTATGTCAAGATTTCTTGCGCGGAATATGCAAACGTGGCACATCATGTCGATACCTTCACTCAATTAAAAAATCCATAGTTTGTAAACATTGGTTACGCGGTCTTTGTATGTTAGAAGATCAATGCGAATATTTACATGAATATAATTTACAAAAATTACCAAAATGTGTTAATTATGTTGTATTCGGTGTATGTTTGAGTCCAAATTGTGTTTTCGCACATGGTGATTATAATATCGAGATTTGTCAGGACTTTGAACGTGGACTTTGTATAAAAGGTAAAGTTGAAAAAAAAACTTTTTTCTTCAGTAGTAAATTGAAATATGTTTAATATGATATATTTTTTCTTAGGACCTAAATGTAAAAAGAAACATGTGAAAAAAGCTGCATGTGCATCGTTTATAGCTGGAAATTGTCCGAAGGGTGTGGCATGTTCTGAATTTCAGTAATATTATTGATAACTCTATTTCAGCTTGTAATTCGCTTCGATACATTATATATATGTATTTTTATTGATTTAAAGAGCTAAATCTATTGTGATTTAGTCCAAAGCTTGAACTGCCCGAAGAACAAATTGTATTTGAAATTCCGGAACAAAAATTTGGTGCCACTTACGCAGTACAGTTATTCTTATTAATAATATTTGATTGATACAACAGTGATATATAGATATTCACACTTATATTTATAGCAAGGTCAACGTTGGTCATCTCGATCGTATCAATTTCGACGGCATAATTTCGATATAATATGTTTTCGGGTATGTTTGTAAAATCCTTATTACAATAAATATATTATGTTTCTTAGCTTTATATTCCGTTGGGTAGTGCGGAAAAAAAGGACACAAAGCCTATAATTGTCGATCTTTAGAGAAATCATTCTCGAGAGGAAATGAAATTAGCACAAAGTAGATTCATTTATCGGGCGTAAAAGTGAGAAGATTAATATCAATAGAAATATAATGTATTTATGACTTTTACCGTCCTACTTAGTTTTCTACTTTCTACTTAGTTTTCTACTTAGTTTTCTAACTAATTTTTTACTTATAACTATATAAACAGTTCTTTTTTATTTTAATTAGAGCACAATATTATTTATAATTATCGGTTCGTGTTTATGCAAGATTGCGTAAAGAACTTTTTTTCAAAAAAAAAAAAAATTTGTACTAAAAAAATATATTTATGAATCAAATAAACATGCATAAACACTAATCCTTTATTGTACGAAATTAATCATTAATCATCAAGGGCAATGTGAAAAGTTCCAGATAACCCCAAATTATAGAACGGAAAGACTATTGCGGCATAATTGTTTCGGTATGGCCATGATGTTTCGGGCTCAAATTCGACATGGCCACTTCCAAAGTACTATCAAGTTTTTAATTGAGAAAATATATATATATATTAAGACGAATTTAAAGGTTTATTTATTAAGTGATATGGTACTTACGGCAGTTTCGACATAAACGATTGGCCATGGTGGTGTTGTTATGTTATCCCAACCATAGATTATGATTTGAACAACTGTGTCACCTGTTATTTATAAAGACACGTATAAAAAATGATCAGCAAAATCTCATTAAGATGGTTAAGAATCTATTATTAGAGTGAATGTATTATAAGTGTTAAATAACAATACTTAAACTTCTCTCAACTTTAAAGACACGTACTAGTCAAATCACCACAAGGAGTAGTATCCCAAATAACCCAAGATGTTTCATTAAACTGGATATATTGATCTGCCATAGGATAGATTACATTAATTTCACAAAGTGCGGTAGAGTTTTGCCTTTTGAATACTTCGCGTTTTTCAAGTGGCGATGCGAAGACCATGATTGTAAGTATGGATATGATTAGTTTGAAAATCAGAATTGAAATTTTCATCTTGATTAAAAAGAACGAGTCGTTTTGAGAAGTTTGTTGGTTTTATTAAAAATAAAATATCTTATTGTCTTGCAAGTAACACATCCAAACTCCAAAAAATGATGAGCTTAATTTGTTATTTAAACCAATAACTTGAGTTTCGAGTTGTTTATTCGCGAGATAATACTCTAGGCTTGTTTAATGCTGAGGCTGAGTGGCGAATAATTTAAGCAAATGTATGTGGCTCATGATAATATTTATTAGTAAATTCTTATAAACAATCAGGGAAAATGTCATTTCTTCTTCACGTGTTAAGGTTTCTTTAGCAATATTATTTTTTTAAAAAGATGATACACCAGCATAGATTTATAATGATTCGAGATTATATTATGGATCACATAATCACATATACACAGTAAAATGTATAAGCAGCAGCACTAGCATAACGATAATTAAAATATCCGGGTGACTAATTTGACTAATTCGATACAATAAATCTTACTTGGCTTAGATGGCTTTGGCCAACAAAAAAAAAAAGATTCAATATTCAAACATATATCAATATCGAATTGTTTAAAATATATATTGTTTAGAACCTTTCGGTAAAAATTATAATACCATTTATGAAGATTTGATATATGAAATTACCGTTACCACCTGCTTAAATTGCAAATACTAATTTCGGTGGCTTAATTTCAGGTAGGCGCAGAATTTGAACCAGGTTCGTGGTTATTAAAATTAAAAAAATAATCAAAATACATTTACAGTCAAATCAATGAATTGATAAATTCACAAAATTAATGTACATTGTTAACTTCACAATGATAAAACATTACAAACTAAACGTAATCATAAGAGCAGATTCGAAATATGCTCGATTTCAGATCTTAAATAGTAGTTGTGAAAACAAAAATAAATTTATATCTTTTAATAGTTTTATTTAAAGCAATCGTATTTTATTTTTTTAGCCCAACATATCAACCAAAAAATACTATCTTATTTCATGACAAGTTTTGTCTTTAAAAAAAAAATATTTCAAATTGACCTTATTTTACAGCAATATAAAGCAAATAATTAAACAATTACAATTGAGTTTACGACACAAGATCAGAATTCTTGATATTACTCACTAGTTAAGCAAACTTTACACTACTAAGGCTGATTAAATATGAAGAACTTGAAGATACAGTACTTAAAGTGAAAGTATGTACAGTGAAACCCATAAGTGCACCCTCTATAAGTGCACACCCTCTCTAAATACATGCTTAAATTCAGGCCCAAATATATACATGACTTCATAAATGCACTTTGTCTTATTGTTCCCTAAGTGCACGTCGTTAAAGTTCGGTCCCAAGAGCGTGCACTTACGGAGGTTTTACTGTAATACATATACTATTAACTGACATGCAATTCAATTGTAACAAATGAAAATATTTAATTTATTATATGGGAATGGCACTATTCACATAATATCGAATATGCTTATTAAAACGGTGATCAAATTGGTCAAAGAATTCAAATAACGGACATTCTTAGATATGGATTTCCATTCGAATTGAAAAAAAATCAAAGGCTAATATATAATATAGGTGGCCAATCTATTGGTGCCTGCAGACAAGTTCATGTGAATTCACCTATATCCATATTAGTCGTAGTGTTTTTATTGTACGTAAACATGCAAATCAAATTTGATTTAAATACAGGTTTACAAAATGTTTCATATCTACCATGTCAACCTATAATATATGACGCAAAAATTTTTATAATAAAAAAATTTTTACTCTAACCGTAAGTACTATTTGTTATTTACTATTACATATAGTATCTATATATATGTCGTAAGTGGAAATGGGATTTAAGTGGATTTGGAATTTCCTATTTAAATTGGGGTTAGGGTGTATATATGACAAAATCAACCTCAAAATGCGGGTTTTATATAAAAATTCCGAATCCACTTAAATTCCGTTTTCACCTACAACATATATAAGGGAATGATGTGAACAGAATATAAATAATCTTACCTACATCATATAACTTAGTAAAAATTTTTTTTTGCTTTTGTTAAGGTCAGTGTTTATAGTAGTTATCATTTTTATTGTACTATTAATTATACATATATACATATAACTTGTACAAAGATGAGTATACAACTAGTTACTTATGCAATTTTTGATTACCTATTTAAATAGTTCATCTGAAGGTTCTACATTAGTTATTATACCTGCAATTTATTAGAAGATTATCTATTTAAACTTTCTGGTTCTATATTATATCAGATGAGTTCTCATACATCTAAGTGTTGTTTAACTTAATATTTAATTTTCTTTCTTGTTTGTTTGTCAAGTCATTACCTATTTTAAAGCATATCATTTAATTATAAGATTTCAAACATCTTTCTGTTAATTAATTTATTTTTTTTATAGATTATTAATAGAATTATATTCTTGTAAAATTTATTAGAATTTTAGTATCAATTTTATAGCATGTTTTTAATATTTTAATATATTTTTATTTTTGTTCTTAAATTCTTAATTTAAATAATCTAAAGAACTGTAACCTGTTTTTGATATATCAAGTTTAACTTAATATTTTTTTTTTTTAGTTTAATTCTAATAACCTGGTTGATAGTTATAACTTAGTAATTAAATTTACTAAACTTATATTAATTCTAATAAATTTTTTAAATTTAATACTTAATGATTATAATATTGTAATAAAATTTATTAAAAACTAGCAAGCTATAGTAAACTTTAAATAGTATAAGTGTCAAGTAGAAGATCTTTTATTTAAAAGAAAATAAAATAACCAAAAATAAGAAATAAATGTTTTAAAAGTGAAATTTAAATTCAATAGCCTTTTAAACACTATAAGATACAACAATAGAACTAGTTTTTAAACTAAATTCTATTGTTTAGTATATGTAAATTGGGTATAACAAAATGTTTATCTTATACAAGAATTATTAGACTTTTAAACTTAGAAATATCTATAGAGTATAATTAGAAAAAAAAAGCTTGAATAATTAAACCATTAACAGTTATATATAACCTTTAAATTTCAATAATATAAAGTAAATATTTGTCAAATAATTAATTAAAAAAACTAGTTTTTTATTTTATATTATTATCAAAAAAAAAGAAAAATAAAATAAATAAAAATAAATATAAAGAATAATAAGATAAAAAATAAAATAAAGAATAATTTTTATTAATAATAATAAGATAAAATAGGTAAAATAATAATTTATTTAAGAATAATTAGAATACAAAAAATTTTTATATATAAGAAAAGCATTTAAGAAGAAATTATATATTGTTCTTTTTTTTAAAAAAGTAAAAAGCTATTTTTTTTATAGATTTTAATCTAATAATTAATTGATTTTATAGCTACCATGTGTTGTAACATTATTTGAATTATATAAACATTCAAAATATATTAGAAATTAAGAAATTCTATATATATTTCATTAATAATATTTGTACACAAATAATAAACTAATACTATATCTTTTTATTTTTATCAATGCTTAGCACTCTATTGTGTAATAACTTCTTTTTTTTAAAATGTTAAGATGAGTACATATGTATTAAGATTTTATTAGTAGTATATATTAACAAACATCTGTTAACATAACAGTGCAGAGATAATTATGAAAAAAGTATATAACTAGCTACTTGTACAACTTTAGTCATTATCTAATTTAAGTAGTTTGCTTGAAGGTTTTATACTAGTTACTATATATAGAACCCACCTATAGGTCCTATATTTAAACACTCTAATCTTATATTCATTACACTATATCAATAATTCTGGTAAACTAGTGAAGATATGCTATAGTCACTAAGTTATATTTAACTTTGTACTAAAATCTACCAGAGCCTTTTGTATTTTATACTTACAACTAACTTAGTATTACTTTAGTCTAAACTATTACCTGCAATTAGAGCTAATCATTAAACTACTATACTTTTGTAAGATTTATCCAAAACTTTGATATTTATCTTTTTGACATCTTCTTCATTATCCTCTACTAACTACTACTCAGAACTAACAGGACTCTTTAGACTTTTAATTCAGATAGCCCAATATAGTATACCTTAGTATTTTTTTTCTTTGGCAATTTTAGCAGCCTGGTTGGTTATATACTTCTCTATACATCTTACTATCTGGTTTATTCATCTATTTCTTTAAAGGTGTTTCATAGACTTTCATCAATCTAACAATACTGTTGAAAGTTTTGTGCTATCTCTTTACTCAGGATTTTCAAGTAAATTTCTGACTTTTCAATTTTTTGCTTTCTGTGCCCAGTGGTTTTATTATAAGTTTGCACTAAAGTCTTATATAACATCAGTTATTAATATTCTTTTATATAAGTATAACATTACATTTTATATAGATGTTCTGAGCTTTTATTCAAGATAGTGCAATTAAAGGTTACAGATACATCAATTTAACTGATTAACAGAGTCAGTTATCATAACACAGATATAAATTCTAAAATTCATTATCTGTATAATTTGAACTTTAGACCTGTCACTTGAGAATTAACAATCTGTCTATTTCACTAAATTACTACATCATCTCATTGTGTAATAACTTATATATTAACTAAAAATAAAACAAATATTATTGTATATCCTATATGTTTATTTAACATTTAGAAGCCTTCTTACAGATATTGTTCTAAGTATAATTAAAAATAACTATAGTAGTATATAGAAAATATATAGTATAGCATTTAGTATAAAACTTATATAGTAATATATAAGCAAACTACTTAATTAGGCACTAAAAATGCATATATAGCTAGTTATAATCTCTAATGTAAGGTAGCTCCTGATGGCATGTCATGTTCTATATACTTGAATAAAAATGTCACATCTCGAAAATAAGAACTTTAATATAAAAAAAAAATATATATATATATATATAATAATACTATAAAGTGTGGTGACCTAGTAAAGTAAATA